GGTCTTGATTCCTTCTTCTGCAGGTTAATATCCAGGTTTTCCAGCACCATTTATTAAAAAGGGGCATCCGCTTCCCATTTGATATATATTTTTTGGACAGTTATCAAAGATCGGTTGTCTGTATGCTGCCGATTTTATTTCTGGATTTTCTGTTCTTATCCATTGGTCCGAGTGTCTATCATTATCCCAGTACCATGCTGTTTGGACAACTGTGGCTGTATAATAAGTTTTAAAGGCACATAATACAAGCCCCACTCCCCCCATTTTCTTTCTCTTGAGGACTTCTTTGCCAGTTCTTTCATTTCTTTGAAAAAAGATGCCAGTCTTTGTAACGGGATTATATTGAACTTCTAGAGTGCCTCGGGTAGGATTGACATCTGAGAGAGAGTCTTGAAGACCCAACTTTGGGTTTGGGTTGTCCTAGATTAAAATCCAGCAGCTGCCCGGTCGACCCGGACCCCCTGGCTCGCAGACCTGGGCTCCCTAGGGTCCTCAGCAGCTGGTTCTTTCCTAGTAGATCACCAGGCCTTTCTTCCAAGGCACCTCTGGGTGTGCTTAAGCCTTTCAGTGGGCAGCCAAGCATGTTGACTGTACCGTCCAGAAACTCCAGGACTGAGATTAAAGCCCTAAAAAGCTAAGTCCACTGACACCAAGTCGATTCTGATTCACAGCACCCTGCACGGGATTCCCACGGCAACTGCCAACCTTGCAACCAGCAGCCCAGCCCAGGGCTCCCACTACTGAGATTGGCACCATGCCATCTAACTCTCTCTGAGCATGTGTGTACTGCCAAGATGGTAGCCACCAGCTACTTGTGGCGCTCATAAAAAACAATAAAAAACACTGCCATCAAGTCCCATTCTAGCTCATAGCGCCCCTATATAGGAGAGGTGGAACTGCCCCTTTGGGTTTCCAAAACTGTAATTCTTTACAGGAATAGAAAGCCTCAGCTTTTTCCCTCGGAGCAGCTGGTGGTTTCGAACTGCTGACCTTATGGTCAGTGGTGCAATGAGTAACCACTACACCACCAGAGATCCTTATGTGTGTAATGGAGCACTTGAAAGGTGGCTGAGAGGACAAGAAACTGAAAGGTTCATTTTAATAATTTAAACCACTGCAGGTAACTAGTGATAACTGCCTTGGCCCTGTAGACTTAGACCAATTTCGTCTCTGAACCTGAGAACTGGCTGATCTCCATAGCTCCCTCTTTACAACCCCTACCCCCACCAAAAAAAACCCAAAAAAACAAAACCTCAGACAGAACTGGACTTCCTGCTAGCTGCCTCTGCTTCTCTCCAGGCCTTGCTTACAAACCAGGGAGGCAATCCTGGGTGCTGGGTTCCTGCATGAGACCTGGTCTCACAGTGCATCACGGGTTGGAGCACAAGAGCAGCAGTTCAAACAACACACACACACACACACACACACACACACACACACACTCACTCTCTGAGAAAGGCGAGGCGGTCTGCTTCTGCAAAGATTTGCAGCCCCGGAAACCCTTGGGCCAGCACTGCCCTCTGAGGTCACTGTGAACTGGAGTCGACTTTACGGCAGTGGGTTTAGACTTGGGGGTACCTACCCTGCTCTCCAGCCTGGCTCCTCGTGCGGGATTTTATCTTTTCATAACTACCTGCCTGGGTCAGAACAGCCCAGACGAAAGAAAGAAAGAAAGCATCCAGGTTGCATTTCAGTGTTTGTTTATTCAAGTGTCTGGAGGGAATCGGAGATACTTATGAGGTAAAACTTGGATGATTAGGCAGCTGTTTAATATAAACTAGAAAGGCCGTTTCTGTCGGCACAGAAGCAGCTGAAGTGGGATGTTGGGAGAGCTTCGCAGCAGGCCCTTGCGCTGGGAAGGGCAGAGAGCAGGCAGCTCTGCGTGAACATAGCAGGATGCTGGTGCTGCTCAATGAATCTCAGGTAGCCCTCCAACTAGGACGCCTGGTGGGAGAAAGGTTTTCTACTCCTGAGAAGAGTTTCCATCTCAGAAACCCCCAGGGAAGTTCTACCTCTGGGGTCACTGAGTCAGAATCAACTCAATGGCAGTGAGTTTGGGGTTTTTGTTGAGAGGAGACCCAGTTGTGTGGTGGGTTATGCACTGGGCTGCTAGCTGCAAGGTCAGCTGTTCAAAACCACCAGCCGCTCCACAGGAGGAAGAGGCTTTCTAAAACTGATGGTGGTGATTGTGCAACTCTTCTTGACGTGATGTGACTACTGAATTATATGATATGTGAATTACGTGCCAATAAAACTGTTTAAAAAAACGAGTTGCAGTTTGGAAACCCACAGGGCCGGTTCGACCCTGACCTATAGGGTTGTTATGACTCAGAAGCACAAGGTCAGCAGTTCAAAACCACCAGTCAGTCCGAGGGAGAAAGAGGAAGCTTTCTAGTCCTGAAAAGAGTTAAAATCTCAGCAGCCCACACAACAGACGTTCTACCTTGTCCTGTAGCGTCGTCGGGAGTCAGCATCAAGTCCATGGCAGTGGGTTATACTTACAGGGCGTCCCTGCTGTCAGTGGAATTCACTCCGTCGGCCTGCTGGTTTGCTGGCTTTTTGGGGTGAATTCAGTGTGGATTCACCAGTCACATCATCATTCAGTACTCAACAACTCGTCACACTTCCCAGGGGCGTGCCTGCTTCCATCACTGTTGGCCCATCTCCCTCTTCTCCAAATTTTACACCTGCCAACCCTCCAGCCTCTGATTTCCCATTCTGCCCCTCCCATCCCCCCCATCACACTTGCTCACTCACATCCCGTCGATTGTGACTCACGGCAAGCCTGCAGGACAGGGTAGAACAGCCCCTGGGGGTTTCTGAGAAGGTGACTCTTTGTTTTTTCTCTTTCTTTTTTAAAAATCATTTTACAGCTCTTACTACATTCCATACATCAAGCATATTTGTACATAGGTTGCCATCATTTCCAAAACATGTTCTACTTGAGCCCTTGGTATCAGCTCCTCTTTTCTCCCCTCCCTTCTCCTCCCCATCTGGTGAATCCTTGATCAATTATATATGGTTATTACTATTTTGTATCTTACATTGTCCATTGCCTCCCTTTACCCAGTTCTGTTATTGATTCCCTTCAGGGGCGGGGTGCTATATATTCAATCTTGTGATGGGTTCCCCCTTTCTCCCCCTTCCCCCTCCCAGCTATTCCCCTACCCTCATGATATTGCTACTCCCACTACTGTTCTGAGGGGGTTATCTGTCCTGAATTCCATGGGTCCAGAGCTCTTCTCTGTACCCATGTGTATACTCTGGTCCAGCTGGATTTGTAAGGTAGAACTGGGTCTTGGTAGTAGGGGTGTTGGGGACGGGAAGCATTCGGGAACTAGAGGAATGATGAGTGTCTCATTGGTGCTATACTGCACCCTGGTTGAATCATCCCCTCCTTATAACCCTTCTGTGGCGGGATACCCAATTGTCTACAGATGGACTTTGGGTCTCCACTCCAACTTCCTTGGTTTGCATCGATATAGTTGTTTGTTTTGGATCTTTTGATACCTGATCCCATCGACACCTCATGATCACACAAGCGGGTGTGCTTCTTCCATGTGGGCTTGTTGCTTCCCTGCTAGATGGCTGCTTGTTTAACTTCAAGTCTTTAAGACCCAAGATGCTATATCTTTTGATAGCCAGGCACCATCTGCTCTCTTCACCACATTTGCTTATGCACCCATTTTGTCTTCAGTGATCATGTCGGGAAGGTGAGTATCAAAGAGTGCCAAGTTTATCAGAACAAAGTGTTCTTGTGTTAAGGGAGGCTTTGAGTAGAGACCCAAAGTCTGTCTGCTATCTTAATACTTAACATATAAATAAACGTGCATTGGCCTCTATCCCTTTTATTATAAATATATTTACACATACACGTGCCTATACCTCTATAAATCGTAATACCTCTATACATCGTTTTTGCTTCCTATTTCTTTCCTCTATTTCCTTTCACCTTCCTCCTATCCCATTATCATGCTCACCCTCCATTGGGCTTTCAGTAATTCCTTTCGGATAGAATGTAACTCTTTATAAGAGTAGAAAGCCTCCTCTTTCTCCAGCAGAGGGGTTGATGGTTTTGAACTGCTGACTTTGCCCTGCCGGCCCAATATGTAACCACTGGGCAACCAGGACTCCGATCATCCTATCCCTAGTAACCATCAAAGTCTATTTCTTCTTTTCCTTTTTTTTTTAAGACTAGTCAAGTGCAGTAGTGAGGGGGGGTAGACAAATAGGTCGACCAGTAATTGACTGTAAGCAATCGTTGTGAGATCTCACTACCTTCAGACCAGCCCTAAGTCTATTTCTTTTAGTGTGGAGACCTTTCTTTGATTTTTAATAACAGAATGTGTCCCTTTGTGATGGACTGATTTCACCCTGCGTGACACTCCCTGGACTCATGGAGGTCATGAGGCATTTCACCGATGTGTCTCCATTCTTCTGAGTGGCACAGTATGCCCTTGTGTGTACCACTGTGCATACCAACCTTCAGGGATCCACCCTCCCACCCATGGGCATCTGGGTTGTCTCCATCTTTCAGCTGTTGTGACTGCAGCTGCGCTGGACATGGGGGTGTTTGTATCAGCTGGTGCTGGCGTCTGCTTTCTTTGGGAAGTAGACCGAGTAGAGGGATTGCTGGATCACAGGGTGTTTCTAATCCCAGTTGTCTGAGGAAGCATCTCGCTGCTTTCAACAGTAGCTGAGGGTCCTCGTGTCTCCATGCCCTTTCTAGCATCTGCCAGTTTCTCTTTCTTTAACTCTGCTATCAGTGCTGTACTCCATAGTGTTTTAGTGCTGTTTTCTCAGAAATAGATGCAACACTGTTTTTCCGAGGGACCTTCTGGTGGGCCCAGCCCCGAACCTTTCGGTTAGCGGCTGCATGCCCTTGGCCCCATGCATCTCCCACGGACTCCTCCACAGTAGAACTTCCTGTGATGGTCGCCTTCAGAACGCCCCCATTGACACCCACTGTCTAACTCTCTGTCTCCTGCCTTTTCTTCCAGGAGCAAGCAACAGCAATGCCTCTGCCTTGGCGGCCCACCACCCAGACCCTGGGACCCTGCAGCAGTGCCTCAGTAAGCTCCCCTTGCCCCATGACCCCATGACCAGACGGGGAGGGGTCCGGGCCTCCTTGCTTGTCAGGGGACAGGTGACAGTGGCCAGTACTAGCCCAGATCACTCCTGTGCTGCATGCTTTGTTATGGCCCAGAGAGTCAGAGTGACCTTGGCCTCACCGGATCGAGATGGAGTCAGGGAGTGGGACTGCTTCCTTCCTGCTCCCTCTGTCTGTTCATTCCTGTCCATGCCCAGCCCAGAGAGACTGAGCTAGAAGCTGCACCGTAACCAGACCCCCAGTGGTTCTTCCAGAGCCCAGGAGATATTAGGTGCCCAAGAACCACCCCGGGGGATCTTGTGGAACTGTAAATTCTGATTCTAGCTGGGTGGGGGGCGGGGGGCGGGGGTGGAGCGAGGGGCAGGAGTACTATGGGAACAAGCTGATCCAAACCCTCCCTGGATGCTTGCAGACACTTGTCATGGGAAGGCCACAGAGATGCAGGCATCCCACTTTAGCCCAGGGCAGGCGCTTCCTTTGGAACCTTTGCATCCTTCTGCTCACCTTCCACTAGAATGCTTCCCGCTGCGGGGAACTCACTGCTGCATAAAGCAGCCCCGCTTCCCTGGGTTCAAAACCACCCCTCGGGAGAAAGATGTGGCTTTGTACTCCCACAAACAGTTACAGGGACAGTTCTACCCTGCCCTACTGGATCACGAGGAGGCAGATCAACTCGGTGGTGGGGGTTCCGAGCTCTTTCCAGGGTGTGTCAGCGCTGAGCTGTGTCCCCAAGGGCTTCTGTTGACTGGTTTTTCAGAAGTAGATCGCCAGGCCTTTCTTTTGAGGTACCTCCGAGTGGACTCTAACTCCCCCTTTCCAGTTAAACCCAAACCCCCCTCTTTTAGGTGGTGCCAGCACTTAGCCCAGCACACAACCATTCACAGCACCTGAAAGATCCCCGGATGGTTGCCCTTGGCTATTAGTCGAGAAGTTGTGGGTTTAAATCCACTCAGGGGCACCACCAAAGAGAGGCCTGGCACCCCGCTCCCATAAGACAGCAGTAAAGAAAGCCTTGCACACCAGGCCACCCTGCACCAGCACCGAGGACCACGGTTTTAGTTCCCCCAGGGGCAGCCGGGGTCACCCATACCTTCTCTCTCCCACAGACGTTGACTACTGCCCTCTGGCCGACCGCTGCTGCAGAGGGAGCGTGGACCAGCAGGGCTGGATCGCGGCCGCCGTGGGCTGGAGCCTCTGGTTCCTTACGCTGATCCTGATCTGCGTGGCCAAGCTGATGACCCTGAGCCCGGATGGGCCCAAGGACCTGGCCTGAGCCCCAGCCTTCTGCTCCTTGAAGTCTTGCCACTTTAAGCTTCTGTTACTTTAGAAAGGAAGGAAGGACGGGGATGGGGGCTAAGAAGGAATGAACTGAGCCCTGAGCTCCTGGGAACTGAGCCTTGAGCTCCTGGGGGACCCCTCGAGGAAGGCCCACGCCCCTCCATCTCCTTCCCCGCCCCCAGGGCGTGCACCCAGGGGTGCACAAGAAACAGATGGCTCAGTATTTCAGTCCGTGTACTTGACACCAAACCCAAAACCTTGCCTTAGAAACAGATACAGCCATCACTGCACTGAGCCCCTTCCCTCGTCTCCAGGAGGTTGAACTGACCCCACGGCCCAGTCCCTGCTCCCCAGCACACTACAATCCTCCCAGCTGTCGTGTGAGCGTGGGGCAGAGGCCTTGCTGTGAACACTGCCGGGAGTGTGTTGGGGGCGGGGGGAGGGGTGGTGTCCACCACCTGGGGCTGGGGGCTGGTGGGTCGGTCAAGGGGAAAAAAGGACTCTTTCTTTCTGCACCAATGCCTGTCTCCTGTGAGGATACCTGAGCCTACCCACATCAGGTAAACTGAGCAGCACCTGAAACAGGGCGCACGCTGGAATCCCATAAATGCCCTCCGGCGGGGCCTGTGGACGGCTCAGCACAGGCAGGGGGTGTGCTGTTCTGAGCGCTGACGACAGAGACTGCACCCCACCTGTGTGTGGCTGTGGTTTGTCTTTCCTTTCTCTCAATGCGATGATTAAGCCGCACACTTTGATTTCATTAATTGCTAAAATATTTCTGGAATAAACAGCATGTCACGGTGGAAAGCGCCATGGCCTTCCTTACCACGTACAAGGCGCTCTGGCGGCGCCCTGGGTGAGGCGTTCAAACCCACCAGCGCCCCTCAAGCGAGCAGCGAGGCTGCTTGGCGGCTGTCGTAAAACGGCGCGACCGCAGAAACCCTTTGCGGGGTTGCTAGGAGACAGAACCGCTCCTTGGCCGTGCATTTGGTTTGGTGCGGTTGGGTTGGTTGCTTGGCTTGCTTTTTCTGGTGAAAGGGAGCAAAAAAAAGTTCTTTTAACCCCCGATGACTTTCAATGCCAGGATTGGATCCCACTGGCCAGTGTCAAGAACACAGGGAGGCATTTGAGGTGCCGCCCACCTGGGCCAATGGACGCCGGGCTCTGGCCGACCTTGCCGGTGCCCCTGCCCCTGCCCCTGCCCCTGCCCCGGCGCCCGCTCCTCCTCGGCACCCCTGCGTAGAACAGAAGGAAACGCTGCCGGCCGGGCCCGCCCTCACCATCTGTCCGTCTGCATCCACTGTGGCCCCACCGTGGCGCCCCACCCCACGCAGGGTCTCCCCTCTCTGCTGGCCCTCCTCTTGACCAACCATGATGTCCCCCTGATGACACGTCCGAAGTCGGTGAGACAAGCGGCGACCCAGAGCGTAGGGTTTGCGTTGGCCATTTGTCACAAGATGGCAGGACCTTTGTCCCTAGGATGTCTTCATCCGTCCACCCTGGGGGACCCCGCTGGCACTGGGCACAGCAGTGTCGTCGCTTCCAGCCTCAGAGCCACACACCAGGCGAGCAGCAGCCATGGCTCTGACGTTGTAGACGCATATTGGACCTCCCTGGGGTGCTTTTAATTGCTCTCCACAAGGTGGCCGGGGTTCTGAGCCAGCACCTGTTGGTGTCAGGTGCCCCGTCCCCCGAGCTGTGACGTTCCTAGAAGACACTAGTGCCTTGTGCGCCACTTCTGCCACATCGCAGTCAGGTCTAGGCATCGTGTGACTAGCTTTACTCTCATCTGCACAAGACCAAATCCAAGCCACCACTCCTTTCTTGGGAGGAATGAGGAGAAGGAGTGGAAGATGAGGGATATCTTCCGAGTGCTGCATCCAGGTTCCTGCCGGCATGGACGCACTCTTACGGCAGAGCCAAGATGGATAAATAAAGGAGGGGCTGCTGGGGGGGCACAAGCATCAACTGCTAGGGCCCTGAGACCCCCTGTGAGAAAGCCCCAGGGCCTCCCAGTGGCCGCAGAGTGGCTGATTTTCACAAGGGGATCACAGGACCCTTAACAGTGAATTCCAACACACAGTAACCCTGCCAGACCGAGTGGAAGTGCCCCGTGGGGGTGATACCAAGGTGGTCCATCTGTATGGAAGCAGACGGCCTCTCCTCTCTCTCTAGGAGCAGCTGGTGGGTTCCAACCACCGACCTTTCAATTTGCCACTGAGCACTGAACCAGGGTGCCACCTGCCACCTCCTCCTGAATGTGCAGGTTGCATTGACGCTCGCTGCTGAACACAGAGGGTGCTGATGATCGCACCATATTCCGGGGGAATGATGTGTTCCCTTAAAAAGGGTTACAATGGCGAATTGTGTGGTAAACGTGTTTACACACACACACACACACACACACACACACACACGATATGCAAATACGCAATGGTTTCCATTTGGCTCCTTTAGTGGTATCAATCAGTGCTTACTGTTTGCTTTCCCAGACTGTGGTGTTGAAAGCACCGTGTGGAGGGACAGAAAACAGCCACATTGTACTTAGATTTACAAATGCAGAGAGTCTAGGCCCTCCTGAGAAGAGAGATGCCACTTTCAAGCAAAATACCTTTGGAGGGAAGATTTCAGAAACAGCAGACTCACTCACTCACTCACTCACTCACTCACTCACTCACTCACTCACTCACTCACTCACTCACTCACTGTCGTCGACTCAATTCAGATTCATAGTGACCCTATAGGACAGGGTAGAACTGCCGCTGTGGGTTTCCGAGACTATAACTCTTGACTGGAGTAGAAAGCCTCCTCCTTCTCCCCAGGAGTGGCTGGTGGTTTCCAACTGCTCATCTTGTGGTGAGCACCCCAAGGAGTAACCACTGTGCCACCAGGGCTCTGCAGGAGCAGCCGACGGCCACACCTCTTTCCCAGGGAGCAACAGTTCAAACAGCTGACCTTTCTGTGAGCCGCTGGTGCCTAAGCAGACCGCACCACCAGGGTGCCCGTGTCTTGTGAGCTAGCACCAGATCTTCAACCCAGTGGACTTGGTCAAGTCCATCCTCAGGCTCGCTGGTTAAATGAAAGTGGCGGTGGGGGTGGGGGTGGGGGCGGAGTGTGGAGCAGGCTCACTCTTAGAGATATGCTCGTGATTTTAGTAGACTCGTTGGTGAGTGTCTCACGAACACTCCTGCGCATGCTATCCACCTGTGCTCCCGCACCCCCCCACCCCCCACCCCCGTTTTCCAAGCCTCTGTGTAGGAGCCCTGGTGGCACAGTGGTTATATTGGGGTGCTAATCACAAAGTCAGCAGTTCAAAGCCACCAGCCACTCCTGGGGAGAAAGATGAGGCTTCCTACTCCCATAAAGAGTTCCTACTCCTGTCAAGAGTTAGTCTTGGAAACCCACAGCTGCAGTTAAACGGAGCAAGGATTGTGTGGATGTGCAGAACCGGGCAGTGTTCCCTCAGTTCCTTATACATCTTGTTGCCATGAGTCAGAAACAGCTTGGGGGCACCGAAGGACAGCAGCATGAGTCAGGGTTGACCCGAGGGCATACAGCGAGACGAAGCTCTGTAGACATCACCCAGGAGGTTAAGGGGTGCAAACAGGTTTAGGTAATAAGAGGAGGTTGGCTGGTTGAAGCCACCCCAGGTTGCCACAGTACAAAGACCCGGTGACCCTTGCCAACAGTCAACCACTGGAACGCCTACTCTGACACACATGGGGTTGATATGGTAGGACGTGGCTTGGTTTTTGTTGTCTGTTGGTTACAAAGTAGCCCAGAGCCCCTAACTGCTGCTCAGGATCCGATAGCGTGCACATTGGTGCTTTGCCTCTGTGTGGCCAGAGAGATGGACCCCAAGAGCATCTCCAGCATCCCTTGCCCACATCACACGCGTGCCAGTGTTTCCCTGAGAGACACCACCAAATACAGTGTTGCTGGCTGGCCAAACAAACCCCTTCTGAATGAAACTAAGTATTAACCCCCAATTGTCTACAAACCGCCACGCAGACATTCATCCATTGATCCAGAAAGAGAAGCGGACTCCTCATGGTTTCTCCCTCCCCGTTCCAGGACTGGCAGAGGTCCTGGCCATGCCCCTCCCGGCAACAGGCCCAGCACACTAAACTCAATGCAGCAAATCCCATTATCTTTTGAATTGGAACACAGCCTTGCTATGGAGTTGTAAAAGGGGGTACCCCCCCAAAACAAACAAACAAAACAGAAAAAAGCTCCACCTAGTGCATTCCCTCCCCACACCCCACCAACTTGCACTCAGTTAGTGCATCCAGTGGCATCGCCTGGGAAGCTTCACAGTGAATTTTTTTCGTAAAAGCAATTTCACTTGACCCTCGTTTTTTGTGATGGCAGTTTTAAGAGAACAGCATGCAGCTGTGAAATTTTGTTTCCTGCTCAGGGTAAAATGTTTCAATGTTGAACACAGCTTACAAGGACAGCACTGTGGGAAAAACTCAAGTGTCCGAATGGTTTTCTCATTTCAAAAAAGCTGAAATGTAGACTGATGGCAAACCTTGTTCTGGACTTCCCAAGTGGACAAAAATGTCCACTTGTGCATTTGGAGTTCGTTCCAACTGGTCAGACTGTTAATCGAGCTTTCTGTTTAGAGTTTCTTGAAAAATTTTGTAACAGTGTGTGACAAAAGAAAGACCTGATTTGTTGCAGATGGGGGACTGGTTTTGCCACCACTACAATGTACCTGCTCACACAGCCATCTCCATCCACCAGTTGGGGGCCAAAAATGGTATGCCTCTCTTGCCGTACACACCTTCTTTGTTTCTGCAAATGGAGAGGGACATGATAGCACAGCGATTTGATTATGTAGAAGAGGTGAAGAACCAAACTAGGGAAATGCTATCAGCCAGCCAAACAAATGAGTTTGAAAAATGTTTCCATGAATGGAATCGCAGTTTTGACAAATGTATTAAGTGTAATGGAGAGTACTTTGAAGGTGATAAGGTTGTTTTGTTAAAAAAAAAATCAAATACATAGCCTTGGAAAAAAAATTCTGGTTTTTGGGGGGACACCCCTCATTTTTCACGTGGCATGAAAGAGTGGTTGGCAAAAAAGTAAAGTCCTAGCTGCAGGCACGTTAGCTGAATGAAAAACTAAGTGTATAGTGGGCTGACACTCAAGCCAGTGGGAGAAATAGCGTTTTGATATGGACTACAGTATGGAGGGGGACTTGAAGATATCACGCAGAGTGAAATCAATCCATCACAAAAGGACAAGTATTGTATGACCTTGATTATATAAAACGACAAGAAAGGACAACTCTATGGAGACCAGAGGGTTTCCAGGGTTCATTCGCGGTTACCCGGAGTGGCAGGGGAGTTGAAGGGGGAGGCTTCTTGCTTATGGGATGCTGAGTGGTGGCTCCCAGTGATGGACAATTGCACTGATTAAGGGTGGGGTGCACAGCTCTTTACTG